TACAACTCTCTGCGCGCCTAGTAACGATCGATCGATCTCGCCGCACGTTTGAATTGGGCAGTGGGCCGGCCTAAGACAACGATTTTTAATAATTAATAACTCGCTGACTTTTGCAAAAATTGCAAAATGGTAGAGGACTTTTCGACTTAGTCTAGTCCACTCTATCCCACAATAAGCGTTGATGCGGGTATTACATAACGTACCCTGTATATGTATTTGAAAGTCTCAAAATTTAACTCGTTATCATTCATCAATATTTTAATTGGAATTTCACCAATATCTCAATAAAAATTCAGTGAAACCATTTTTCGTTAAAAAGTAACGCGGTTTTTAATTAAATTCAATAACTTTTATCTAAAATATTCTATAAGCTTTTTTTGTAGCTCGCAGTATTGCATTGAATTTCATAGGGAAAATTACAATTTATCTCGAAATGTATACTTTCAATAATTATTCGATCGCTTTTATTTCACACTCTACTTACGGCAAAATATTTTTATCAGGGCAGGGTTTTGCAGCCGAAGTCTTTTGCATTTCTCACCTTTCCTCTCTAATTTTACGTCAATTTCATTTTAAGCCCAACGTAGTGCAACTGCAAATAACAGGCCGTAGAAGGGAACGGAAGAAGGAGAAAGAGAGGGAACGGAACACCTCGAGGGAGAAACGTTAATTTTTCGCCGAATTTATTTAAATAATTTTCGAACCACGTCAGAGAACTGCTCACACAAACTTGCTATTTATATATATATTTGTATTTATATAAGTTATTTAAGCGTTATATTATTTTGCTCCGACACAAATATACATATGCAATGATTCTAATGTTGATGACGTCATTTTCAGGGTGCCTTGAGAAATTTCCTACGTATCTCTTTTCACTCGCATACACGCATTTTCTCTCTTTCTCTTCTCGTTTCCTCTCTCTCTCTCTCTCTCTCTCTCTCTCTCTCTCTCTCTCTCTCTCTCTCTCTCTCTCTCTCTCTATGAAATTATATAAAGACTATAGTTTTTCGCGACACCTAACTACTCCGATCGCTATTTATAATGTATACATATCTCGCGGCGTCTCTCGGGACACCTGGGGATATCCGCGACGGCCCTCGGCCCTCGCCCGTCTCTCTCTTTCCTTGTCGCGCAGTTCAAGTAAAACGACATTTAAAAGGAGAAAAATAAAGACTAAATGGATCAGCGACCGAAACGGAATTCGCATTCTCTCGACTAAAACTGTCAGATCTTCAAAATCAGACTTCTCTCATGTCTGAATACACGAACAATCAGTGATTTCCTCGGGGTGTGAAATTAAATATGCGAGAATGGCTGTCTCGTCTGAATAACTTAAATCCTACGTTTTTCATCGAATGAGGATGCACATTGCCAATTTCCAATCTCCCGCATCACTGCCTGTATACACCTCATTATAATACATAAACGCGCGTGTACATACACGTGACATTAAACCGCTCGCATACGATCCAACGATTCCTCCGGCGAACAGCGTGCACAAGAGTGCGTATTCTTGCCGCATAGTCAGCGCTAAATGTGGAATACGAGCGTTAACATTGTTCACATTAATGGTTTATTAATAGAAATAAAGTATCAATCAATGACATTATACAATTATATTAAAAGCTTATATCAATAACGTGTAGTCACAAATTACCGCAATTAATATATGAATACATACGTTGAACAGCGTACGATAAAATCCGAGCCACATTTGAGCGTTATATGCGACGCGGAGCAATGGCGAAGTCGGTGCGGATCGGCTTGAATGTAAAACAACGCGAACACGCTAAAGAGAGTTTTATGCGGTGTAGAAATTTATGCGAGAGAGTCGTGTGGATCGTATGTAAATAATTTAACACGAGCCAAAGTATCTAAACGCGCTTTACACTTAATTACAATCCTATTGCCGGGGCGGAGACGACGCATGCGGCATCGTCGTCTCTGTTGCGAGCGACGTTGCGGCAATTCAATCGAAAGCCCCGTGTTCGAGACAATCCCGAGTGCCCGTCGGCAGCCCATCGCTACACTCGCCAGCCCGCTACTACTGCTGGGTGATCCTGAAGACCGGTCCGATCCTGAGGAAAAATCTGCGCAACACCGACCTAAGCTCGGGCTTGAGATCGAAGCACATGACCTCGCACAGAGAAGGATAGCAGGTGGAGGCGTGGACCGCGAAGCGATGATCGCTCATCTTGAGAATCCGAGTGAGCAGCAACAGCAGAATCGGGGTCCAAGCGTCGCGGTGGGCCTCGTTGGCGAGCGCCAGGAAATATTCCAGGGCCTCGCACGCCACCTCGACCAGCCGCGCCTCGACCTTGGACCAATCTGCGCGATGCGCCTCGTCGCTGTACATCTTGAAGAGGATTCGCAGCGCGCACGCGAGCGACTGCGTCTCTTGCTTCAGCAGATTAGGCTTCATGTTACCGCGAAAGCTGGCCTTCCACAGCACGTTGCGTTGCTCGTGATCGGAATTGAAGCTCTTAGCGAAGCGATGCGACCGCAGCAGACACTCCACCAGCTGCAGGAGATGATTGGTCGTCAGGGCACAATACATGCCTTGCTCCTCCTTCTGCTGATCAGCGCCAGCCCTAAAAATAATCAATTGCGTTGCGTATCTACTGTACGTTGACAATTTTACAAAGTCGACGCGGTTGCGGAACACACTCACTTTACAAGTTCCGACGACTTGCCGTTCAGCATGTCGGCCTGCGCGAGCGCCAAATTCTCCTGATCCTCCTTGCGCGACGTCGCCGGGTAAAAAACGATATTATCGATGGTCTGTATTAACTCAAGCTGAACCACACACTTGATCTGCAACGCAGAGAAAAGCTTGGCCTTCGGCAAGGTCTCCACGTTCAGGCTCTGTGCGCTGTTGCTCCTCTTCAGAATACCAACGTGAAGACCATCGGACTCGCCGGTGATCACGTCGAGGTCAGACTCCTTGTTCTGCGGGTGTGGCTTCCACGTGAGCAGCGCGGACGGTAGAGTGCTCTCGAAAATGTCCAGGACGCATTGGCAGGTTTTCTCCCAAGTCTGCTCGTCGAACTTGATGCCATTGCTGATGACTAGATTCTCCAGACAGTTGGTGCCCGAGCGTGCCAACTGTTCGTTGTCCTGCTGGACGCACCAGAGAAGCTGGAAATAAAGCTGCTCCAGCAACAAGGGGCCCAGAATATCGTAAAACTGCGAGAACACATCCACGATGGCATACAGCGCATGATTGCACGTTGTTGTCATCCACTCAGCTTTCTGCAAATATTCAATAGAACGTTTGCGTGCTTAGGCGTTCCGGTAATCTCTGTAACAATACATTTACTTCCCTTCTTAGAAATTATACGAACCTCGGTATGCTGTTCGGGCAGCTTCATGTTGTCAAAGATCCTGAAAAGGACCTGGAAGAGGTCCTTCCACCAATGAGGCTTGAAGGACGCACCATGGGTCTTGACGACGTCGAAGAGCACAGTCAGTGCGCGCGTCCTGACGTCCAACTTACATCTACTCACAACGCAGGATAATTCAAACAGCAGCGGGAACCATCCTCTCACCTAACAGAAGAAAAAAATGGTAAAAGAACATGTCAATGATTTAAATAAACGAGCTAAGATAATAGTACCCAGGCTCGATCTTCCTCGGAGACCATTCCGCTATCGTCCATCATACCCTCGGCAAACAGACTGGGATTCGCATCAATGTAAGAAGCGCAGGAACGTATTAGTCGGATTGCCTCCATGCTGGTGTCCGGAAAAGACGCGTTGCACGCGAACTCGCTCAGGCATTTAACGGCGTCTTGGAAGGAATCCACCATGATGCTGAAATCTTCTGCGTATAGCTCGTCTGCGAATAGAATTAATATGTTAAAAATGAATTCTTAGCTGGAGAAAAACGACGCAAGTCGTTGACATTCAAGGCAGGCACAAAGATGAAACTCACTGATAATCTTGCCGGTCATGGAAAAGGCCAGCTCGACGACAGATTCATCACGATCGCTGGCCGCGTGGTGGAAAACGCTGAAAATGTTCTTCCAACCGGACCTAATATTCGGCGCTTGCGAATGAACAATTTGCGCCACGCATCTCACAACCATATCTCTAATCACAGGCGATCTAAATCACATTGAATCAAATTAAGTCGTAATCAAACAATAGTTAGATTATGTACAATTATCACAATACTAAATGCAATGCTTGATACATTCTAACAAATTGACTTTGTTATAAAGAAGTTTCATGGATATACGTGACATATCGGATTACATATAATTAAAAGTACAAATTAAATAAAAATATAATGTAATTCTTTCACTTAATTAGTTGAAAGAGAACATTACCTGTTCTTCTTCATGATGTGTTCAAACGGTCTAAGGAAGTCTTTTTGGAATCTGAAGTTGGCAAATTCGCCCTTCTCGATGAACTTGGTTGCCAGCTGTCTCAGAGAATCCACTGCGAAAAACGCGATATCCTGTCGTGGACTGCAGCCTACCCTGTCGAAATGATCGCCGAGGACTTGCCAGATCCTGGACCACTGTAGCCTAATACGACCCATGTTGTAGTAAGAGATCTCGACAATCTTCGTAAGAGAGAACATGCGCGGTTGCGTGGGGTGTGCAAGTTCCTCGAGAGAAACCTGATAATTATTAGTCATCGTTAGATATGTATTAAACGAATTATATGACATAAGACTCATTGATGAAACTTAAGAGAGAAAGACCTGGCAGAGAGCCTTGACAAATTCGACAATAGCATCACCATCGAGTCTCGTCGAGCCGGTAAAGATACGATCAACGGCCACGACGACGCTCTGCGAGCTGGTTTCACCAATGGACTCCTTCACACTGGGGTCCAATGAGCTCAAGTTGAGATTGTTGGTCTGGTGCGAGCTGGCAGAGTGCGCGAGATTGCCAAAGTTCGCTAATGGCGAGGGGAAGTGCGGTTTCGACGGTGGGCCCAGCAATTGTGGCCGCACTCCCGTGCCTATCAGCTGCGCCAACTCCAGCTGGGAGATACATTTGACGACATCGAGCCACGAGCTGCCTAGGTAGTTGCCATCGGTATGAGCTACTGTGATGAGGGTCTTGATGGTATCGATGTTCTTCGCCTTCATTTCGGTAATAGGAGAATTTGCTGTCAACAAGGTGAATCTCGCCAAAGCTTGTACGTAGGCATCGCGTTCGAGGCTCATGTGAAAGATGCAGGCGATGCGAATGGCACATCTAATAACATAAAACACAATTATATAAATCTGTGATTCTCCTACGTTCCAAGATATTTTCTCACCTGATACCGTCCAAGCAGAGCGACGCGATCTCGGGATCGTCGCAGTCTTGAAGTCCGACGCTGAACGCCGCGAGGAATGGCGTCCAGGCCATTTTGAACATCGGCCGTACATGTTCCAGATGCTTCGCCGTGGTGAACGGTGCCTGAACGTGGCTGACGGATTCCATCAGATTCTTCGCCGCTGTAGAAATCACTTCCATCTCCATGTTCCATAGCAACCGTCGCTTCTTTTCGCTAGAAATCAGCTGCTTGCCGGCAAGTCGGCTGTTATTGGGGTTCGACTTCATTTTGATCTCGTTACCGGCGATTTCGTCGTAAATTCTAGATAGATATTCCTCAGGAAGATCCTCGTTGTCGCTGATGCGTCGATTAAGCCTGATGAATGAAAGAAAACAAAAATAAGACGACTCCTCAAGTCTAGATTAAAAAGATACATTTGTTATAAAGAATCACAATATATTTGTATAGTTAAATTAAATTTACTAACAAACATAAAATTTAAATAAAATAATCACTTCTCTGAATTAATAATTATACATTTTTAATTATAATTAACTTTAAAAATGGCTGTACCTGATGTATTGTTCTTTAGTCATTTTATTCTTAACCTGCGGCGAGTGCAAATCAGTAGTCAACATTATGATTGAAAAGCCGAGAACGTAGGCTGTGTCCGCGCTCGTAAAGAGGCCATTATTAGGATTGCACTCGCAATAGCGACTGGCAAACTTTTCCATCAGTCGGTCGATCTTCTGGGCCTCGCCGGGCAGCCGAAAGCCCTCCAGGAAATACCTGAGTGCGGTTACCAAATCGCGTTCGGCAAAGTTCATCTGATCGATGTAATGGTACATTACCTGCGCGAACGCATTTAACAAAATTAGTCAGCGTCAAAGTTAATTATCGCGCAACAATAACGTAATTCAGAATCGACCAGTGGCCCATTTATGTCCATAATTAATAATAGTCCATTAATCCCAATCGTTTCCTCCTCATCACCTGGTTATGATTATGATCGCCCAGAAAGTCCCCAATGGCGGTCTTGTCGAGCCGCTCGTCCAAGTGCAGCCACCTGGCCACGTCCTCCGGTAAAGTACCGAGCAGTCCTTGTTCCTGCAAGTACTGCACACCCTTGCCGGGCTTCCGGCTGAAGATCTCGATACCGGTCTCCCATACCTCCTTCTGCTGCTTCTGCACTTCGTACTGCTCCGGCGAGTCCGGCACCTCCTTGTTGCCGGTCAGACTGGAGTTGGCCGACGAGAGGCTGCCGGCGCTACCGTAACGCGGCAGCGGGGTGTCCGGCGTCGTATCCGGCGGATCCGACAACGGTTGCTGATCCGCTGGCACGCTCGGATTCACATAAAGATCCCGACTCCACTCCACCATGCACTTCAGAATAGACACGAGGCATTCGAGGCCACGGATGCGCATGGATTTCTCCTGGAAGGGCAAGACACTAACGTTACACCGGAAACAAAACTATTCATTGCTTGTCTCGAACAAGAGCGTTCTCTGTTGCAAATAATACATGTATCCCGGTACTCTCCTCCTCTTACAACGCACCTGATTTGGCGATGCACCTAGCTCCAGTGCCTGACGACCCTGGGCGATCTTAGAGAGATCGTTGACGAGCCTCTCGAAGAGATTCGCCGCCGAGAGATCGCAGTCGTAGTTAACGTAGATGTCGACGACGCTCTGGGCGTCCGCGCAGATCCTCGTGAGCGCATGTATCACCATCCACTTGTGCTCGAAAGAGCTGCTGGAGGTCTCGAGGATGTTCATGAAGATCTCCTTAAAGAACACCTCGATCTGCATCTTCAGGTGCATCTTGAAACGCGCGAGAAGCGCCAGGAACAATGCCAGCGACAGCTCAAACACCTCTGGCACCGAGGATACACCATTCTTGGACAGGGCGACACACAAGTACTGCTTGATGGCGATAACGAACATCTCGTTGGAGCGCAGTACCGGCCCGGCGTTCTGCAAGATCCCGAGGAGTAACTGAAGCGACAGGATCTTGGAACGTAGCTCGTGCGATCTTGGATCGGGAGTGCCGTCCGGCAGCGGTTTCATAGAGAGCTTGCAGAGAGCGCGGAACACCAGGAACGCGTCCTTTTGCAGCACATGGGTGAATTTGGCAGTTACCATGTTGTCATTCTCAGCGGTCACCTCGTCACCGTTGTCCTCCGGACTGCCGTTCTCCAAACTGACTTCCTCTTCCAATGGCACCACGGATTTCACCACGTCATCCAGAATGCCCTTGACGATCGTTTGAGGATCGACGGTGTCATTACCAGGACTAGTCTCCGGACTCAGCTCGCTCTCAGCCTCGCCGTTTGCCACGACAGGCACCTCCTGCTGATGATCACCGTCGATCCTGACGCTCTCCTCCTCCGCCTGGGTCTCCATTCGCGCGAAGATGACGTTGATCATCTGCGTGAGGGTCGCACGGGCTGTTGTCTGGTTCACCAGGTTACGCGACGCCAAGTAAACGTTGTAAACGGTACGAATCGTCAACAGCACCGTGCCCTCGTGCACCTCCACGTGCTGGCTCGTCATCACAGTCAGCAGGGCCTTAATAATCTGCAGCTGCACACCCTCGTCAGTCTGCGGGCCGGTGAAGCAGCCACAGATTGTCTCGACGATGCGCACGATCAGCAGCTTACTAGGCTCCGTTGAGTCGGGCACATTGCCAGTGAGGTGGCCGTATGCGATTAACTTCTGCAGGCAGTCCAGCGCCGTGACCACGATCCGCGGTGACTTGCTCTGGCACGCCAACTCAAACGGTAAGAAGTACTTCTCGGCGGTAATGACATTGGAGTCGCTCTTGGGTTGCGGCAGGGCGTTCGAGGTAACCTCTTCGCCCTGCACAGCTGGTACATCTTTGATCTCGTTGCGCAGGTCCTCTGCAAGGTGGAAACGAACTTATTTAATAACTTTCTAGCTACAAGCGACAGTTGTGCATCCATAAGGTCTCTCTCTCTCTCTCTTACTCTGCTTACCGAGCGCAGACTCGCAGGACTTCCTGAGCTGCGAGAGGTGCGATCTCTTGACATCTCGATCGGCCAGTATCTTTTCCAAAGCTCGGACGATAAACATCTCTCTGGTCTTGGAGTTATTTTGCATCGTCACTCCCCAAGCGGCAGCTCGAGATCCACGGCTCCTTCAGTGCTCGCTCGTCAGTGCGTCAACATCGGTGCGGGCTGGCGAATGGCAATACATGTGACTACGCCGCGGCTGGCCGCTGGCCAACATCTTTCGCCACCGTTCTCGACGAAAGAGCTTACTACGCAACCCCTTACTTGCGGACCTGAGGACATCGGGCACTTGGCGTGCGGTGAGCCGAGTGGGACAAAGTCGAGGGAGGCGAAATGCCACGGGTATAAAATCGCTCACCTAAGTGACAGGACGGACAACCGACATGGAATTTTTCCAGCGCGGCAGGAACAGCACCACCGCCAGGCGCGGTCTCCTCGTAAACGACGTTACGTCGCCTGCGACATCATCCGTCGCTGCACTTGAAACCGGAGCCGAACAACAGGAATAGAGACGACGAGAGAAATCAACCGACACACCGACCGACACTCACGCTGACAGGCACCGGAATGTAACTGCGGATGACAACTCGGACAACTGACTCTCTGTCTGTGCGCGGCTAACTTCACGCGCGACAGCGACGACAGCGCGCAACCATGATTGACAGCTCGCTCTCTGATTGGTCAAATTTCAATCTGATCTTAAGCTCAATCCGTATGTCCGATACAGCCCTTCGCTGCACCGGACGCAGTGTGAAACCGTCATAAGAATGGCGGCTTTCAGTGGATTTATTTTATGCAACAAGTAAAATATTACAGTTACATGCAGTTACAGAAGAGACTGTAAAAACGGACAATAGTTGCAAGACTTTGCATAAATGGGCGACCCTCTTCGACGGGAGGTTAATTACTGATTAGTCAATTCGTATTACGTGGATAGTAGTAATCGTTTTTGAGGTTATTTATCACTGTTATTGTTGGGTTATTAATCTAATATTAATTTTCATATAATATTTACGATAAACATTGACGCGGCTGTAATACCTTACATCTTTTAATGTTCACACATTTGTTGCACAAATGTAAATACAGTAAATGGGCAACAAAATATTTTCGCCTACATTTAAAAGCATGTTTTATTAAGTAACAATTGTAAGCTCTATTAGGATTATACTTTGCTCATTTTATTTACTTACTTTTGTGATAATTCTTTTCAGGTCCTGCGAATCTTCAAGCAACTGCACAGAACAAGATTAAAGACGTTCCAAGGCGATGAATATGCGTTGCAAGGTAATGTATTTTGTACTTTCTTAAGCTGCATTGTAATAAATTTTGCATTTTCAACATTTTACTCTATTATTCCTTAGCTGTGAGGAATAGGATAAACGAGGAATACAGAAAGTATAAAAATGTCACAAACCAAGCGGCGATTGAAGAGGTACGTCTCTCCGTTTCAAGTGTACAGATAAAATGCGCGGCGGAAATGTTGCTGGTGAACTTTATAATTCAAGACCGTAAAGAAAACTTGTACAGAAACAATTGTTGTTGGTGTTCCAGTTGAATAAATTTGCGCAGGAAGTCGAGCATGAAGTGCGAACGACTGTCATACAAGCGGTTGAAACGGCACCTGGGAGAGTAGGTAGTAATCGTGAATTCCAAATAATGGGCAAAACATCAGTTACGCTATTCGATTTTATAAGTGATTAACTTAAATTAATTTCAGCGCTGCGACTTACTCCAGATGTCTTGGTAGATAATGTGCCATATAAGGATCAGAAGGATAGTAAACCGAGCAAAGAAAGCAAAGACTAAGCTCTACGGCACTAAAGAATGAATAAAAGTCGATTAAAGTCAATTGAAAATAGTTTACAGTCAGATTGGAAACGTCTGATTATTTAAACCTGAAATTGCAATATTTGTAAATAATGTATTATATAGGATATGCTGTAGCTGTATCATAAATGTATGACTAAAAAATACATGTGTTTAGTAGCTTTGGTAGGAAGCCGCTACTCAATTTTTATAATTAAAGTAATCTTTATTTACAGCGATAAGATTACGATACAGGAGTTCCAAGTATGTACAAGCCTCCGCTGGCTAAATCATTTCCTCCTCGATATCACAGGCTGTTTCTACACTCCATATTGAATTCGTGCATAACGCACTGCATAAACTACGCGCTTCCCTCCTCCAATTTCATCCTGAAACACATGGAAATTGCTTGACACATTTATCCCACGATTACGGTGACTTTAAATGCCTCACCTTTTCTGTATATCTTGCATAATTATTCATGTGTACGGGAGGTAGGGATTGTGAAAAATGGAGATTATGGCAATTTCTACTAGAGAATTTAGCAAGGAGAATTCAGTACATGAAGAGAGTCTTTGGGGCAAACCTGAAGGAAGAGATTCAGTGAGAGTTTAACAATTGTCAATTGAAATAATCGGTATCAAATTAATCGGCATTTTTAAGATTTTCTAAATTGTGTATTGCAGAATTTGATCTACTGTAATCGTACTAGGAAGACGTATATCACATTGAAAGAGCTGTCTATGCTGAGTCGTTAGCAATGAGCAATGTTAAGGAATTGTAGCGAACGCTAACGGAATTGAATGTCCTGAACTCTGTGCAAAGGTCTTACACATGCTCAGGATGACTGCGGATCTGGTCGATGAGATCCGCCGGTCGCAATTGATCGGTGCAGATGCGATGCACCGCGGTAAATAGCGGGAACTTGTCAATCAGGTTGCGCGCCTTCAACATGTCATGGACCTCGTCCGCAGTTGCCGGTCCCTGCAGTTTCTGTCCGGACAGCAGCTCGTCCTCCAACGTTTTGATAGTCTGTAAACGATAAGTTATAAATCACTTAATATGTGAATTGTTCCATCATTACCGTAGCAACGCGAATTTTTTAGATCAATCTGAATATCAATTGATAGCTTTACTTCTAATTGAAGCGACTTTGTGAAAGTGAGTTTTAATCGCTAAAATCAATCCCGCAGGTAAACAGAAATCCGCAAGGACCCGTTTAGAATCTCTCACCTTGCCAGTCTTGACAAATTGCTCGCAGACCCTGCGATTCCTTCCTCCGTAACAAGTGGTAATCAGATCCGCGACGCCGCAGCTCTCGAAGAACGTGGAGAGCTTGGAACCGTTGTAGAAGGTATCGACAAACTTGACCATCTCCATCAGTCCTAATCGGATCACCGCGGCCTTCGTATTGTCGCCCAGCCCGAGGCCGTCCACAAAACCAGCTGCACACGCCACGACGTTCTGTGATCGAAGCATATTCAGACAAACCAATGAGTAAAATGAAATGAGACGTGCGAGTGATCACAATCACGAATACAAAAAAACATTGAGAAAATATAAGTACGATCGAAGTGTTTGCGATGTTAGGGAGATAATTTACACGCAGGATTTCCTTTGAAAGGATCTACTTGCCTTCAGAGCCCCGCATACTTCCACGGTGTCGCAATCCTCTACGACGACCACTCGGAAGTTTGGAGTCTGAATGAGGTCCCTCAGCACCGGTGCCAGTCGTTTGTCCTTGCACCCTGCAATTTCATGTCCGTTTACGATGTCCATTTCCGATACGCTGGTGCAAGAAGTTCTCATGTATTCTTGAAAGCGAAGTTATGAAAATACTCACCGATCGTAGTTTCGCAGAATTTCTCTTCGGCGACTTCATTGGCCAGATTAGCGCCCATCAGAACATTGCACTGTATCCTCAGGTTCTTTTCGATGATCTTGGAGATCAACTCGATACTGTTTCCTTCGCCTCGGCCAAAGCCCTGCAATTCGAACCCGTTTAATCTAATGAATTAGAATAGAAGACGAAGAGCTGTGTGAAACTTACCTTAATGAGAGAAAGGCCGACTGCAGTTGGCTTTATGTTATCCAGCAGCGTTGAGCACAAGGTGCGAATAAACTGATGTGGCAAAACGAAGATGAGGATGTCGGCGTCCTTCGCTGCCTCCACAACGTCAGGTACGGCGACCTGGAAGAGTATCCAGAAAAGTTTACGGAAATTAGAACTTTTAGAAGTATAGCACATAACCAGAACAATACAAATGAATTTTCTCGGTTCACACTTCCATGTATCCCATCAATTTTAAATAAATTTAATAATGTCATCAAATCGTCGCGTCGCTGAGGATGGCTCAAAGCGAAGCCAATACAAATTATATTTAATAGTATATAGAATGTCAATTCAGTATACTGAACAAAGTTGATGAACGCGTTGACTCTCCAAGTCCACTTTTTACTCGTAGAAATTAAAACACTTGCATTCTATAAAACCTTTTCATTTAAAAAATCAATAGATATCACAGAATCAATATCTGCTCATCCGAACATCCGATATCAGCGAGATCAGATGTGGAGATACGATATCTGATGGGCGTTGCATCATCGTAACGTTTGCATCATATTATAGAAACGACCTGCCGTATATAGTATGTATAAAGAGCGTGGACGAGCGTGAGGATAACGTAGCTCACAATCAGATCGGCTCCCGGTTCATCAGTGCTTGGCAGGCTTCCCGTCGAGACAGACGCGTGCTTCGAGTAATTCTTCCATCAAACGCTCAAGGACAAAACGATAATGAGGCTTAACAGTATCATACCGAATTTTAAAGCCGAGACCACGCAGGGTCCCATCGACTTTTACGACTGGCAGGGCAACTCGTGAGTTATAATAATTACATGTAGAGGAAAGTCCTCTATTATGAGATAAGCTTCTAATATGAGATAGAAAGTTTTCAACATCCAAATTTAATCACCAATCTTTCTTCACAACAATGAATTTTCCACTAAACAGATTTCGCTCCAAAGGCAATAAATTCACAATAAGACCAAAAGATGATGCTTATTAATTTAGCGAAAACCCTGCTAACTCATATTAGGAGCTGATCTCATAATGGGAGACTTTCTCTCCTCTAATAATATTTCATTTTAATACGTTTAAGTACTAGCTACGTTAACTCGCAAAGAGCGACACATTGTATTACCCCAAATGGCACAGAGAATCCGAGGGGAAATTTTTGTGAATTCCTGAATTATAAAATGTCTCTTTCCACCCCATTTCTGTTCTGAAATCGTTCATAGAAGCTAAAAAAGAATTCACTCTTATGTCAATTCTGAGCTCTTTTTCGAATACGAGAGGAATTTTTTCTTTACAAGAATTTGTGCCGGAAAGGAACTCGTTTGAAGTTCATTTTGAACAGATTATACTCGCTAAAGAATTTAAAAAATGAATCCTTTTTAAAAGTTCGTAACGATCCTCTGTGCTATTTCGGGTATTCTCCTTCGATTATCTCGCGTATTCCCCTTCCATTTTTTAATTCTCAAAAACTTTTGAAGATATGTATATCATGTTAAGTGAACGGAAAATAAAAGTCCTGCAAAACTTTATCGTCGTTATATAATCGCAAGTCATGAACTCGACTTCGTTGTATGAAATCAAGTTCAATGTAAATGCCCGCTGAATATGGCAAAATATGACAAGATAACGCGTTGTCGATTGCAGAATCAATTTGCACGAGGGTCTTATCGGATTTGTTTTTTTGTAATAATCATCCACCGGCAAACATGTCCGGGATTACGAGGCGGAGTCGCCGTTAGATCCGGCGCGAATAGTAAACAGCTGAATTTGCATTTGTCCACTGCGTATGGTCAGCAACAAAGTACGCGAGCCAAGAATAGATCTTCTCTATCGTGGCAAACACCAGCTACAGGTTGTTGAAGATAACAACCTGTTAGAGGCGGCTCTTACATCATGCTAATGGAAATTTCCGAACGGCTATTAAAATTGGACGTGTTAAAAAATTGATTGTAAAAGTAGTAAATAAATCTATGATAATTATCACGCGCACATTCAATATGTTGAATCCTCATAATAGAGGACTTTTCTCTACAAAAAATTGTATAATCTTATTACATTACTACGATAACAACGAAATGGAACTGTTGCTTAAAAGGCTTACCAATAATCTCGTACAAACAGTAATTTTGTTATCAAGATTATTAATTTTGTCCCTTTACATAGCAACACGATCGCAATATTAACTGAATGAGATTACTCGCGCAATTGCGTGGCGAAAACAAGTATTTTTTTAGACTGATTATGGAGAGAAGAGGAGTAATTAATTATAATGAATTGTAAGCGTGATGCGCATGGAATTACAAACGCATGGCCCGTAAGGCGACTCGCATTGAAGAGGCCGAAGGGCGACCGTGAGCTGAAATAAATGTACATTGCAACAACGGGGTCTACCCTTGGCACGATGCCAAAGCGAGCGCTCGACTATATTAAGTGCTCGCACTTGAAAGTGTCGCACTTCGAGTCAGAGTAATCCCGTGACCGGTTATATCATTGTCTTTCTGATAAGTACCGTA